TAAAATGTGTGCCAAGATTTTGGAATTTTCGTGCAGGGTTTCAGTCTTACAGGCTTTAGGGATTCGGGGCTTCAGAAGCTATGTCGATGCTGTTTGCTGGTGACACTCCTGTGATCTTTGTGCTTCTTTCTGGTTTGATCATGATCACCAGGCGCTCCCTTGGACGCAAGTAATTACATGGCCGTCTCGGACTAGAAGTGGCACGTTTGCCCGCTAGGGACTGAGATCAGCGAGTATGCCCTGACAGCGTCATTAATCTTTGTGTGGGTCGCTGATGCCAAGGATCAGGCTGCGTTGCTTGCTCGCGCCTCCCAACGAGCTGGATCGGGATCAGGCGACGCCCATCAGGCCACTGATTGCGGATGCCTGCTGACAATGAATGTTATGTTTCTGCTTACAGCCCCGATTAATTGAAGTGCTTCATCGAACTACTTGTGAACCTACAACTCTCTGGCTTGGGGAGCCCGCCTCAGCGAAGCTCGACAAAAAGGTTCGGTCGAAATAAGACCGCAGAGCAGACACGGAAGTGCTCTACGCCATTTGAGTCACTAACTCTTCGGTCACGGAAGCGATTCTTAGACTGGCAACTCCTCTGTAACCCTAAACCTTTCAAATCCCAAGAATCCCAAGCCCAACAAGGTCTCCCAGTATCTCCCCGATACCGCTTCTCGAAACGCTGCCTGGTGAAGGTCCTGGACAGCTCTGTGTCTTCGAAAGTTTTTGATGCAGTCGCAGACGGCTTCCAGCCTGCAGGTTCAGAGGCCCATCTGTGCTAGGTCGGTGCGTGTATGCACGGCCATTTGTTACGAGGTCTGGGTTAATGGGAGTGATGTTCGAATGACTCGACCTCAATGGCAATGGAGGACCCTCAGCAGCTTTTGCTGGTTGTGCTAGATATACAGCATTCCACTTTTGATCTTCTTAAACATGGATGATGATGATGATGATGATGATTATGGTGATGATGATGATGAATATGAACATGAATATGAATATGAATATGAATATGAATATGGGCACCGTGACTTGAAAGCGAGTCAACCAGTCGTGCGGAGACGCCGGCTCCGCTTACGCGTGGCTGCGGGCGGAGACTATGCTGCACAAAGAGCTGACAAATGACAACGCTGATCAATCGGAAGAAGTTGAAGTGCACAGCATTCGGGCCACAACGTCATCGAGTTGCCTTGTTTTCCGTATCACGATCCAGTCACACGAACATCTACGCATGCAGCAGTAAGAAAGCCATGGTCAGCATCGCAGCCACCAGACAAACAGAACAACCGAATACGCACTGCACGAACACAACACGAAACCGACAACTGGCAACACTGGCAAACGAACACCAGCCAACAGCAAACGCAAGGAGCACATTCCGCAACGAATGCAGCCTTTGCTGCATAAGTAGGTATGCTGTATGTTCACTCTGGTGCTCGGAGCTCCAAAAGCTACCAAAGGATTGCAGTCGGTGGCTGTTTGCGTGTCTCTGCCTGCGCGATGATGTGCGATGTTTGTTGGGGGTTATCTCGGGTCAGTGGCGAAACAACCTGTAGTTAACCGTAGCTTCAGCGAAATTTCGCGCTTAGCACGCTAATCCCTGCCGCACAAGAGTCCCGCGCAGATGCACACTGCAAAGGTGTTTCTTGACCGCCGCTCCGGACACCCGTGGATTCAATGGAGTACGGAGTAGGTTGCATCTCCTGCATGCGTGTGGCACTCTGACAGCGGTTTTGCCGGAGGAGATTCCACCTCGTGCCTTTGGCGTACTGTCGCCCACTGTGGCATCTTTAGACTGAGCCGAGTTCCATGCACTTTCCATGCGTGCCGTGGCAGTGTTGCACTGTGCTGTGGCTTTCTCGTGCATCGTGGAAGCCAAGACTGGCCGAGCACAAGAGAGCCAGTTCAGCAAGCAAAAGTACTTGGAGTTCAAGGAGTTCCAAAGGGTGCAAGTCAGTCTTTCGCGCAGTCTTCGGAGAATCGTGGCTTACACCCACCTCCGTGAAGCTCGGGACGGCCTTCCGGACATGCTGTGCACAGTGGAAGCGGAGAGCCGATGTAATCACCATGATAGATTGATAGATATGGTGATGGTGATGGTGCTGGCTGCGTGCATAATGCTGATGTTGTGGTTGTGGTTGTGGTTG